TGAATACTGGAGGCCACGGTAGCCAGTGGAGGTCACACAGTAATGGAGTGACATGTGTCCTTTGGGTGATCAAAAACCAGATGCGCTGCTGCGTTCTGAACCATTGTAGGGGTTTCACGCACAAGCTGGAAGACCTACTAGAAGGACATTCTGTCTCTCATGTCTCTCTGCACGACTGAGACAGCAGCAACATCGTCTGAAAAGGACATCTGTTCATCAATCATGACACCCAAGTTTCTCACCACCCTGGTTGGAGGTATCAATTTGTAGTTTGATTTTATGGTGAATAGATTGCTTGGTGGAATGACCTAGAGTTCAGTCTTAGAGACGTTTAAGTTGAAGGTGGCAAGCCTTGATCTATGCAGATATGTCCGAGAGACAGTCTGTGATCCGCGCCGAGACGGTGGGATCGCCTGGCGGGAAGGATAAGTACAGTTGTGTATTGTCTGCGTAACAGTGCTAAGAGAGGCTGTGTGAGCGAATGATCGGCCCCAGTGAGGTGGTGTAAATTGAGAAGAGAAGGGGCCCTAGCACTGAGCCTTGGGGCAGCCCTGTGGAGAGGCAGTGGGAGGAGGATAATTGTCCTTGCCACAAAACATTGTAGGAACGCCCAGAAAGGTAGGATTCGAACCACAGGAGTGCTTTACAGCAGGATCCTGTGATTTACTGTGTCAAAGGCAGCTGATAGGTCAAGCAAGATAAGGACTGAGGATTGGGCTGCAGCTTTAGCTGACCTTAGGGCTTCTGTTACAAAAAAGAGCCGTTTCAGTAGAGTGGCCACTCTTAAAACCAGACTCATGTGGATGTAGGAGGTCATTCCGTGAGAGGAATTCTGAGACCTGTTTGAAGTTCGATAGTTTTAGATAAAAATGGCTCCGATAGTTCTCAACTTGAGTAGGGTCAAGTGAGGGCTTTTGAGCAAGGGTATAACCTGAGCCATTTTGAAAGTGGTCGGGAAGGTTCCTGAAGCCAGAGAAGTATGGTTAGTTCACCAAGACATGCTGTTGTTGTGAGTAGCATCAGTTTGCTAATCCACAAAGTAACATTAGTTACATTACTTGCTGTGTGTTTGCTGGTATTTTCATGGTGTTGGATTTCTCCAGAATCGCTTAATCACCTTTATAATGCAGAGAAATATACCGAATACAGTTAGAAATTCTATATTCATTGAATTTACAATAAATTTTCTCTATTGGGATATGTATCTTTTGGGATTTGAAATGAATTATGACAGGAGTCTTGAAGTGACTGATCGATGACAGGGGGTCACACAATACACAACCTGACAACTGCTCTGTCAACTGACAAAATTTTGCTTTAGCTATGACTAGCTGCAACAATCTTTCCAACTAGCTTTGACTAGATATAGCTCTCTTGTTTAAGCTTGGGATGAATTGCAGTAAGTGCAACTCGTATTTAATATTACAAACACAGTTGGTCAGTGTATTCACACTCACTTATAACATTAGCAAATGGGGCTTCACTCACACAACCTTATTTCCAGTTAATGTCTCTTTTCCTATCCAGTTGTGCAACTCATTTATTTATTCAGTCATCATTTGGCCTGTATTGACACAACTGAAATGTCCTTGTATGATCTGTGTACTGAGAATTCAGTGTGTCTCCACACTTTACATCACTTACAAACACTAAATTAACAACATGAAAAGTAAGGGTACTAGTGCAGTACCTGTTCACAGGGGTCAATGTGACGCCTCCTTAGGGCTGAACGATTTGGGGAAAAATATGTACTTGCGATTTTTCTGCCAGATATTGCGATTTGCAATTTTTTTAATTGAAAGTTTTCATCAACAGTTCAACATTCACTGACAGTCTATTTTTGACGGAAGCCGTGTCAAGCGGCACAGAGCAGATGAACCGGGGAGGAAGTCAGACACAGAACGGCATAGAGAATCCGGTCGATTTCAAAATCAAACACGCTTTGCAGACTCAATCGTACATTAACAATAAACACAGTTAAAACAGATGAAAAAAAGAAACAATTTAACTACGTAGCCTACTTAACCATAGTAGAAGCACAATCAAGGACAACTGAACAATAAGCAAAATCTGAACAAGTCAGCAAAATCAGACCGGCAAAACGCTTTTATTCTGAAATGCTCCATGTGGATATGTAACGTTAGCCTGCAGACAGCGGAATGGAACGGGCTCACAGAGAGCTGTTATCCGTAGGTGAAGCACACAAAATGACAAATTAACAACACGTTAACATGTAGGCTAAACGCGCCACTGCTGAAAAAGTCTGTTTTTCTAAAGCATCTAAAAGGCTGCTTGAAATATAGTATTATCTAGTATTGGTTTGAAAGCAGCTGGGATAAGGAGTTGCGCTCCAGTTTGTTTTCCCTCGTTCCCGTGATCAGCGCATCTGGGTGATGTAAGTAGTGTTGTGTCGTTCATAAGACCTAATCGTGTGTATTACTCGGGAGGAACGGGTAGTCTCAGTGAGTAATTCGTTCATTTTCACGAATTAACAGAATTGATTAGTTTACGACTTATAGCAACTGTGGGTCTCTAGGTTTGAGTCGTTCATTTGTCACGTGACAGCTCCTACTGTGGAGCAGGAATGAACGACTCGATCACCGCTCACATGGGTCCTCCTCAGTCTTTTGTTCACTCGCAGGCTGAGTGACTGCCAGCGCCAGAGAATGAGAGGCAGGTCGGCTGTCAGGTAACAGTCACTGGACTGACATTATATAACTATTTTGTTAATTATGTGACATTTTATAAAGCATAACATTATTACAGTGCAGTGATTTTAACACAGTAACTTTAGTCCTGCTAGTGTACAGCTAAAAGTGATGAGTTGTTCTGGTTCCACTTCAGAGCCCTGACAGGGTTCTACCTGGAGCCGAATTACCTTCGAGGTCGCCTCCTCTCCAAAACAAACCAACCCGGTCATTAAAACATGAATACACAGCCACATATAGCAGCTTAAGCCCTGCGTTAGCCCTATAAACAGCTAACAGCTGATCCAGGTCCGCCAGAGAACGCAATGTAACTTTTACTTTCTATTTATCAACAGAGCCGTGATGTTGTTTCACATCTCCTGATTGGTAAACTACCTGGCCGTGTTTGAGATGAGAGCGATGTGCTCATGTTTGTTTCTCTGTCTGCAGAATCAGGACCTGATGTGGCCCATTCTGCGTCCAGAACTGCCAAACTGCTGCATTTATATAATGTGTTAATATTTCTTTGTTCCTCTCTCTGTGCTGGAGTTCTTTAAGAACTTGGTGGCTTGATCCAAATTATTATTAAATTGGTTGAATTTTAATAAGAGTGTGTTTATTCATATAGTCAAGCTTATTACTTCTATGTACGCAAATCTGATATTAATATTTTACTCATGCATAGGGACATTAGGCTACTTTATGAATGAGCACTTTAGAGATAATGATTATTATATACATAAGCATTTATATGGCTGGTCTGGTTGTATACTCAGGAAAGACTGTGAAAATGGAAGGATTTAGGCGGAGTAGTGTATTGCATATAGACTACATATTTCTGTGGTTTTTACATGGTTTGAATTTGGTTGTGGGCCCAAGGGTGTGTATATAATGATGATAGAGAGTGATCAAGAGGTGAATTTGTGCATTATACTTTATCAATTAAAGCAAGCCAGGCAGCCTTCCGTGTTTGAGAACGGTGCTGTTTTTTAATCGCCCACTAGAGGGCTGCAGCGCCGCAATAACCAGCCTATTTAAATGAACAAAATGACTCAAAAAAAGATTAGTTAATTTTAATAAACGAGATTTGAAGATTCGAGTCTGTCAAAAGAGTCGAATTTGCCATCACTAACGTTAGATGTAAGTTGCGCGTTGTGCGTTAGTTTAATGTTTCCATTCACATAACGTTAGCCTACAACAGGTGCGCAACGCTGACACACAGACATGGTCCTCGTCTCACACACACCTGTCTCTCCGTTGCTGTTGTATCATTCACTGACCAGCCAGTAACCTGCAGCGTGTCTTCCAGCTCTGCTGTTCCATTAGCGCTCGCCACATTGTGACTGGCTCGCACGCCGATCAGCTTGTTGTGCTAATCTCAGCGCCACTGCCCTCAGCCTCGTCCACCAACTTGTTCATATTTCTGGCTTTCTGAGTCGTTGAGCTAACGTTAGTAGCATGTCAGAGAGGTTTTCTTTTCTTTTCTAAAAAGTGACTGCTTCGCGCAGAGCTGGATGCCAGAGCTCGTGCACCGCGAACACGTCACAGTTCAGAGCGTAAAGCTAAACACTGACGTAAACAGTAACGTGACCTGTACTGCTGTATAACATCAGAGTCACACCAAACGGAGTATATTATGAAGTCTCTCATACACAAAGTATTCATTTATGACGTTATGGCATTAATTAAATCCTATGAAAAGGACAAGAAAAAATTTAAGACCTTGGTAAACGAAATTTAATACTTTGGTAATGAAATTTAAGAATTTTAAGGTCTTATTTTTGGAATATGAAATTTAAGACTTTTTTAATACTTTTAAGACCCCACGGGTACCCTGTATTAAAAGCCCCGCCTCCGCAAGGGTACCCTGCTCTCGCTGTTGCTGAGCAGCATAAACCCTGCTAGCAGCTAGCAGCTTCGCTGTGCCCCGCGAGCGCTCCCTGCCGTCGCTGCTGCAGAGCGCAGTACTGTTTTCTACTGTATTTATTAATTATGAACATGTTGCTTGTTAAAATTGCACCAAACGCGACATTGCACTCCCTTGGGTCCACAACAGCACATGTCAGCCACATTTGAAGTGGATGGGATGAACGGTTTCTGACATAATCAAAATACAAAACACACACACACACACACACAGATTTCCCTCTTTATTAGAGAGATAATACATACCATAAACATGTTAAAATATCATTTCAACACTAAAGAACAGAATGTATATAAATGTAATTAAAATAACAGTCACCTGACAATTTCAGCAAGGTAGTAATATCCAGAGGAAATTCCTGATTTCAGAGAGACTGAATCAAGTGGTAAAATGATGCCACCAGGAGTCTAAAAATAAACAGAATTAATAAACCATATGGGAGCCCTAACAGTTTACAAATTAATTTATTAACCGATGCTATATTATACATGTGGTACATCTTTTTATAATGTATGTCTGTATGACCCTTTGCAAAGAATAAAACCCTTAAAAGACGTCTGGATTGGACTCTTTATTTCAGAAGACTCACTAAAGGACATATTTCCATTACACTGATTGAACGAGATCCATCTAAGGAATGTTCTTAAAATCACAATGTTGTCGCTTGGTCCAGCGGGTTCTCTCAGGTAAACAGAAAGGGAGACAGCGTTCCACGAGTAAATGGCAGGTGCTCTATAGATAGTAACCAAGGGAACAGCTTCTGTGCACTACACAGCTGTAGCCTATTTAACTTAAGTTAAAATTATACATAACTTTACCTGATAGGCCTTTATCTAGTTTTGCAGGGATGCTCTGCCATGCGAATTCCCTCCTGTTGATGTCCTATTTAGTAAAAAGTAATAGATTCTGGAAACTCATGAACAGCGAGAATCAATCTCGCTTCCAATGATTTGTGCTGCACGTCGCATACAAAAAGTTCAAGACAATTAAACTTCGGCAGCTGGCGGCCGGGAACACTTCACCACACTCTAACAGGGACACTTCCTGCTGAACATAGACTGTTTCTGCTGCTCTCTGATAAAAGAAAACTGTTTCTGCGGATACCTGTTCAGAAAAAAACAAAAACACTGGAGTCTGATGTAACTGGTTTTAACAAGCTAGATAAAAGCTAATGCCCTGGCAGTGTTAAATAGCTTTCGTTTAATATTTGATTTAATTAAATTAATGTTTAAGTGCTACTGTGTAAAGGGAATACTGCTGGTAAAAAGCTCCTTATTTGTTTAGTGTTTGCAAACCACATGTTATTGCACTTTTGTGTATATAGCAGTACATTTAAATTAAAATTGCATAATACACTACTTTATAATTCATCATTCAATTTTGCGCATAACTATGCAACAAATCATGCAATTCATCGAGATTAAAAATTTTAATCGCTGCCCAGCACTACTTTTTATCTATATTCTATGAGCCTGGTCCACATCTAGATTAACTCGTTTTGTTGCTATTTCTGTTTTACCCTATAAGGAGAGGCTGCGTCCATTATGTTAATTCAATATTTAGTTTTTTTGGTAAATTATCTAGCTACTCTCAGTACTCCCAGCGCATCTGATTATGTAGTATTACATTTAATTGTGTGCATATCAAAGATAAAATACAATACCACAATCTCAATGTCAATCTCAGCATCAGTTTGGGTTGCGTCATCCTTATCTACAGGCTCCATACGGGGCGTCACAGCAAACATCCTGTAACTAACTGAAATAAGAGTGAAAGAAGTTAATTTTGCTGCTGAAGGTCGAAGAAAGGTGCATCTAATTTTAATTTCTAATTTTTTTTATCAACTTTTTGATTTTATTTTTCCATATATTTAAGTAAAGAGATTGGTTCATATGACTAATTTATTAATACATCCATTCATATAAAATAATGAATAAAGGTTTAGTCAAACAAATTAAACAAATCAAACACTTAATATTAAGGCAAACTAGTTGCTTATTAATAGAAATGACTAGAGTTAGCATGCGTGTTAGTAGCATATTAGCTGTTTATTAGTCATTATAAAGCACTTATTAATGCCTTAAGCTCGCCACACACTAGAGGATAAGTGGGACGATTTTCATCCTGTAGTGTAAGCGGTATACATACATAATCTTAAGGTCACCGACTGGATCAAGGCACCCCGACTGGTAACTGTAAATATATTTATGTTAAACGTGCGTGCACTTCAGCTAGCTCAAAAAACTACCACAATGAACTCAGCTGAGTTACTGACTTAGTTTGTTTTTTTCTAAGGGTGCTCCGATCGATCGGTCACCGATCGTAATAAGCCAATAATGGCTTTAACTAGTTTGATTGGTGGTCTCTAAAAAGGCAAAAAAAAGCAAATCAGATGATGCAATACTTGCAGGACAAATTTTCTACAGCAGCTAACACGGTTTCACTACGCGGTTTGAACAGTTTTCAAAGCTAGCTAGTCCTTTTCAGACAGGAAGCATTAATGCGCCCAGTTAATCATTTACAATGAGAGTTGAGCAGCAATCAGACAAGCAGAGCAACAAGCAGGAGCGATCAAGTGAAACTGTCGCAGTCGTGCTCATCTCATGGTGCTTTCAGACCAAAAGCGAAGCGAGTGTTCGGGGCGGTGAGTTTACATACAAAGTCAATGCAAACACGCAATCGAAGCGGGCAGTGAGTGAGTGAGTTGAATATTCTGCTCTGACAACTACGCCGTTTACTTGCGGGAGGAGCTCGGAGTAAACTGCTTTTTTAAAATTAGCTTTTTATTTTAGTTTTGGGGATTTCAACGTTGATTTATCTTCACTGGAGCTTTTCAGCAGCTAGGTTTCATGCACATCCAGTTCCAGTGTTGTTGTTAGCGTAGTTAGTGTAAATAACCCAGTATATGTTTAGCTCTACAGAAGAAATATTATTGTTGAACAGTCATTTCAGTAGGCTTTATTAGGTATTTTACCCGGTTTAAGCCCTAGTGTCTTACTTCCTGTTCTGACTAGAGGTGCTTTTATTTTGAAAGTCACCGGCTGGCACCATAACTAGTTTTCCTGCAACATGCAACGGAAAAGGGGAGAAACAGTAACATGCACACACAGTGAAAGATTTAATGTTTTAGCACCCCTTCGAAGAGGCACAAATTTATCATAATACCATATTAACATGGTGGTTTGAACAATTGTGGCTGTTTATAGCTGGGCAAATACTGGGCTTGTGAGTTAGTGCTAAACTATGCTAATGCTCTGAAACTATATGGTAAGGTAGCTAATGGGGTTGTTGTTTGTGTTGTTTATTTTTGTAACCAGCTCTTACGTTGGTTTTGGGATTTCCAATAAATCTAAAATCATCAGTTCAAGTGTCAGACCATCTTTCGGAGGGATGTGCTACAGTTAGCTCTGTCGGACTACAACTTCATATTTATATAAAAACTGGACATTACTTGTAAAAAAGAAAGCGAGGAGGTTGAACTACCTGGTGAGTTCAGAAAACATGTGTCTGTAACTTTATACCAGCTATCATTGTACTGTACTGTGACCAAATTAGCACAGCATAGCCCTGATCGATCCAAAACTCCATTCAGAAAACAAAAATCTTTGTCCTGCTGTCTTGCTGACAGACCTGAAAAAGCATGAATTTATATGTTTAACAAATCTTCATCATGTTGTTGTTATTTCAGCATCAGTTTAATCATTTTATTACTATTTAAATCACAGCAAAATGTTTACTTTGGGTTCATACAGTTGTAGTAAAGGTGAGTTGTGTTTATTCACATTATCACGTTAAAATCGCCTTCTCGCGTTGTGTGTGAACACTTGCAGCAAATGTAGTCATGCGAGGAAAGCGTCTAATGCAAAGAGAGGACTTTATAAAACAATGACACAGACACACACTTTCTGATTGGGTCTTATCAGTCATCCAAACCAAAAACACGATGCTGAGTTATAGTTTCTGTATTTTTATTAAAATATTTTGTACTGTGTAAATAACACTTGTACTGTGCATGTTCCCGTGCAGTCTTTTTTCCGCTGCAACAGTTTGCACTCCCGTGTTGCTTTCAGTAACACTTCCACTTTGGTCAATGCAAAAAAAAAAACCTGGTGTGGTTCTTCGCCAAATCTTCTGCAACTGCTGAGTAGACCATCTGCTTCATGTTTACATCAGCATGCGCATGCCCAGTGTACGTGAACGGCCACTAGATGTGTGTTTTTAGTCATTTTAATATGGACGGAGATCAACTCTGATACGCAGCTAACCCGCTGCTGTGGACAGTGAAGACTGTATTCGTTATAAAACTGTTTAAAAAAACGTAGTAGTGTGGATGTAGTCTCACATTACCCGACTGCTCTCTACTCCTCTCAGGTCAACCCTCCCGTTTTCCCCATGATCTCCTGTATTTTTAACCTTTATAAAACCAAATAAAAACCTGCTGGCCGTATTTAAAGTGTTTGCTACTCTCTCCTCTGGTAAAGATGGTGGCAGTAGGCCCATGTGAAACATGTAGACTGTGCTTCTTGCTCAAGGATCTAATAAATGAAAACAATCCACTGACTTAATATTAGGCATATTGCCTACTAGTGGTAAACAAATTAATAATAAATAAATTATAATGAATACAGTAGCTATAGGTAAAATTAACAATATACTATCAGTATAATATGGAATTAACATTGTACTTTTATTTATTTAGATGTCCATTATTTTCAAATCTCACTGAAGGCAGTTTTGACTCCTCTCTGTAGCCCACACTCCCTCTCTCTGCCACCTAAAGCCCACAGAAACTGCCTGAGCTTTCCAGAACAAAAAACGGCTACTTCAGAGTTTATCATTGACTCAGGATGCCTTTGCTACTTTAGCTCCTAAATATTTTGGCTACAGCCTTTTTTGTTGCAGTTTTTATAGTTGAAGTAAATGTATAAACATGCTGTTTGTTCTGCTTTTGTAGTTTACTCCACAGGAAAGCTACATTTGTTAAGCTAGAAGATTTTCGCAGTAACCAGGCAAAGCCTTCAATGGTTTAAGTCTCTAAAACAGAGGGAGTGGAATTTGTTGCCCATTTTTTTTTAGGACTAATTACATAAATGTACAGTATATTGTATAATGCTACATGGTAAATAAAAGGCTTCAAATAGACCAAGTGATCCCGATACCGCTTTCAGCAATCGGTGATCCGCTCAAAAACTCCTGATCGGAGCGCCTCTAGTTTTTTGGTAGTTTAAGTTCACCTAGGATTCAAATCACTTTATTCTATTGGTTGATGAAGTATTTTAGTAATCAAGATTTATGAAGTCTTTTGGATGCTTGAATAGTGAGCTACATTTTTAAGTGAGGCTTCAAATGAGACTGAAGTTGTGAATTTGATTGTGTAGAAAAATCTGCTAATCTAACAAAGTGAACCTTCCATATTAATAATACTACTACTACTACTACGTGTAATACTACTCTTCCATTTTGAGAGTAGTCGAGAATTAAAAACCACTGAATAAAGTTTTGCGTCCGATGTCATTCAAATTTCACCTGACCACAAAGACACACAGAGGTGGGTGTGTTCTTCAGTACCAATGGAGTATTGAACTCACCTTTGCTGTTAGGGGTGTAAATGGTCTTGTCAGTCTGGATGAAGATGTACCCGGACTGGAAGGACACTAAGACGACTTTCTCCAGCAGTCGGTCAGGGAACTGAGCTTGCAGGTACACATACTGCTTCATGATGGGATCCTTACTGAAGTCACCAGCAGGGATCTGAAACCAGCATGAAGAGATACAAGCAGGTGTGAGGAGCAGGTCAGATTATATTGTATACGGTTTATACTCCTGTTTGTAGTCATAAAAGAAAATTATTTATATAGACTATGTAACATTTCAGGCTTTAAAATAAATAATGTGTTGTGGCAATAAAACCAAGTGACAGTAAAATATTTTTTTTATTTACACATTACCTTAATTTGTCCAAAATCCTGGAAGTCTTTAGCACTGGTGAGCGTCACAGATGTAGATGCCAGCCTTTTGGTTTTGGTTGGATGGTTCATCACGATGATTTCAACCCTAATGTCTGCTCCTGTGCAGTCTTGACACTCCACAAAGATGTTTTCTGCTATTCCTACCCGCAACAAGTTGGGGGCAGACATCACCTGCCTGCAGAGCAGCAGCATGAGAGAAAGAGAGTAATAATGAGCAATCTATTGATTATCTTGTCTAAGATCCAGCACTGGATCAATAAAACATTTCATCATTGTTCTGAACTCTGTTGTTTCTGGTGTAATGCATCACTGCGCAAATTTTAGGCTTACTAGCATAATTTGAAAGACCAAAGTAGCTTGACTTTTGTGATAAGTACTACTAACTGCTACTAACCCACCGACATAGCATTTTTATTAGTATTGGGTTGTACAAATAAACAAGACATAAAGCACTAACAAATTTTTAAATTTCACTATTTCAGGATTTTTTCATTTTAATCTTTCTGATTACGGCTTACAGCTCATGGAAATCAAAAATCCATATCTTAAAATATTAGAATAAAAAATGTATAACACAGACACGTCAACCTGAGAAGAGCCTTTAATCTCTCCATCTGGTTCAGTACACACAACCACAATCATGAGGAAGACTTCTGACTTGACAGTTGGTCAAAAGACACCCACTGATACCCTCCACAAGGGGGGGAAGCCACAGAAGGTCATTGCTGAAAGGGCTGGCTGTTCGTAGAGTGCTGTATCAAAACATTTTCATGAAAAGTTGACTGGAAGGTTAAAGTGTGGTAGGAAACGGTGCACAAGCAACAGGGATGACCGCAGCCTTGAGAGGATTGTCATGCAAAGCTAATTCAAGTTCTTGGGGAGTTTCACAAGGAGTGGACTGAGGCTGGAGTCAGTGTTTCAAGAGCCACCAGGCACAGACATGTCCAGGAAATGGGCCAAGTATCACATTCCTGGTGTCGTGCCTGAACCAGAGACAACGTCAGAAGACTCTTACCTGGGCTAAGGAGAAAAAGAACTGGACTGTTGATGAAAGTAAATTCTGCACTTCATTTGGAAATCCAGGTCCCAGAGTCTGGATGTCCAGTAGAGAGGCACAGAATCCAAGTTTCTTGAAGTCCAGTCTAAAGTTTCCATTCAGTGATGATGTGGGGTGCCATGCAAGGTTATAATCATTAACGAAGACGAACGAAATAACAAAAAATAGACGTGAAAAAAAATTGTCAACTGAAATAAAAATAAAAACGAGACATTACAAAAGAACAATAACTAACTAAAACTGTATTGTATGTTTGCAAAACTAACTAAAATGAAAGAGTAAATGTCCTTAGTTTTCGTTTCTTTATTTATTTTATAGGGCCTAATAAGCCTACATTTCGAGTGGATATGAAGCCGGTGGAACTGACTGTGCGGGGCAGTTGGTCTGGTCGGACCTATGAGCCGGACCAGCAGTTAAGTTAAGCAGTACGCTTGAAGAGCTGGCACGCTGCGTGTCCATCAATAGAGCCCGGGGTCAGTGTAGCCTGTGGCGACCGCTGTTACGAGGAGTGCCCCATGTAACGTAGTTACAAAAGTAGTAGGGGAGACCCAGGTATGGATTGGCTGCGTAGTTGGTGCGATTTGAACATGTTTTCTATTATCTTTTATTCATACATGTGTACAAAATCATATGAATGCAACAACTGCATAGAGTTGTGTTTTGTTTAGATTGGGTTGCAGGTAACTTAGTGAGTCACTGTCTTGGTGGTTTTCTTTTCCTTGTTTTGTTCTGTTCTGATGGTCTGACTTAGTATTCTGCCTGTGGGATAAACTTGCCACATGCCCACTGACTGTGAGCTCTCCTAGCACTGGATTAACTGTCTGCTGGTAATTATATTTACTACATATCAGCTAGTGTGTGTTTTATGGGCTCATTGATATCTCAGCCAACCTGTCTCTTTGTGGTTCACATTGTTTTTAATACCTCTTTTTTGATTAATAAAGGTTTAGATTTTAATACAACTGCTTTCCAGTCATACTTGCTTTCAGGGTGCTAGGGACCTGATGTTTGTGGCTCCAAGGGGGGGCCTACACTATCTTCTACACTAATTTGTTAGCTGTCCATCAATTGTATTTCACCACCATTTATTGTATTTCACATATTTAAACAAGAATGATAGAGCCAGAGAATAATGTAATGAATTTCTTAGGACCACTGGGTAATAAGATTAGTGTAGTTAGCTCTTAGGGTTTGCTGTATGTAGGTTAGAAATTATACTGTAGATTGCATGTGCTTAATTTATTTGTAGTATTTATTTAGACAATGCGTCAGTATTTCAAATATATATTTGCTTAGTGTTTGGGCCCCTATGGACAAGCATCAGATAGCTTAAAAAAGGGTGAATCTTTTCAAAAATATTTCTGATTGTACTTGTATTTGAATGTTTTGTGAGAAAACTAAACTGGACTGAACTAAACTGAACTGAGCTTGGCATCGTGCAGCGACAAAGACTAAAAGTAACACTAAAACTAATAAAAACTAAGATAAGATGCCAGCCTTTGGTGTGAGAGACCAGGGTTCAATTCCCACTGTGACCCATCTACCATTGTGTCTCTGAGCAAGACACTTAACCCCTAGTTGATCCAGAGGCGTGCGACCTCTGACATATATAGCAATTGCAAGTCGCTTCGGATAAAAGTGTCAGCTAAATGAGTAAATGTAATGTAAACTGAAATTGAAAACGAAAAGTCAAAACAAAATCAATATAAATACTAATAAAAATCCAAAACTATATTAAACTTGGTGCCATTTCATCTGCTAGTGTTGGTCCACTGTGTTTCTTTAAGTCCAGGGTCAATGCAACGTGTACCAGGAGATGTTATTACTGGTCAGCCAACTGGCCTGACCTGAACCCCACAGAGACACTATGGTGTGAGGACAGTGAGAGACACCAGACCAACAACATAGCGAGCTGAAGGCCGCTATCAGCAAAGCAACCTGGGCTTCAGCAGGGTCACAGGCTGATTGCCTTCATGCCACGCCACACTGATGCAGTAATTTGTGCAAAAGGAGCCTCCACCAAGTAAGTCTGAGTGTCTAAGTTAACCACTTTCAGAACTTTAAAACCTTACAGAAAGTCATCATTTCTGTATTACACATTCGTTATTTAATTTTGGGGGGATGGGCATCGCTTTTCGATACCTTTAAGGTAACAGCAGAAACAGCCCTTGTGTATCAAGTAATGTCGAAACGTCTCTAGTCAAACCAGTATTTCATTCGATACTTATTATAACAGGAACGTGGCAAAAAATTACTTTTTGTTTGGTTTTCCTTGCAGCCAAACAAGCAAGCAACACACTTAAAGAGGGCACTTCTCTTTTTTCCCTTATGTGTCTGCGCGTGCCGAGTCCATGCGTGATTTTAACAGCGGCTTACCTTCAGCTGCGGTCTCAGGCATGTTCGTGACTGTTGCAAGTTTATCACCACAAGCTTGGCTTTTCGTAGGTTTCATCTTCTGGTATCATTTAACACTACTCTGTACATTTATATTTGCTATTCACTACTATCACTTGTCACTGATCAATCTCTGCGTTCCATCATATAATTTCAATGCTTTCGTGGCGCAGCAGCTGATTTTACTCATAGAGCCTCCAGCTGCAGTTCCAGCTCCTAAGATCTAGTCTTTACCTATATGATACTACCCGTGAGGATTTTTATGTAATTATTTGAAAAAAGAAAAAAAAAAAATAGATAACCTTGCTTGTCCATAACAAAAATAATGAAAAAATAATAATAGGCTACTAATCAACTACAATGGCTTCAACAGGTGGAATTTTACGCAAGGTATCAAATTAAGTACTCAATTGGTATCGGTATCACTTTAAGGGTACTGGTTTTGGTACTGGTATCGTAAAATCTTTAGACGATACCCAACCCTAAATATTTTGAGATATGGCTTTTTAATTTCCATAGCTGTAATCATCTAGACTAAAACCAAAACACAAAAAAGGCCTGAAATATTTCCTTTTATGTGCAATGAATCTGGAATATATGAAAGTTTCACTTTTTGATTTAAATTATTGAAAAAAAAAAAAACTTTTTCACAATATTCTAATTTTAAGAGATGTACCTGTAATATACAAAAAGAATGCATCTACTTTTACTGCATAGTAAAAACAACTCTCAACACAACAAATTCATGTTCAGTCATTCAACACTACTCAACAAACAACCAGCTCAATCCTTCTTTATGTAGTGTCTTACTGGCAAGGAGGCACTGGTGCTTTTAGATCATTCTTCATTTTTATAATGTCTACGTATTTATATCTAATGGCTTGTGCCATATTTTACATACCCTTTTCTTTCTTTGTTGTATGTAATTTATTAATGTGTCTTTGGTGTACCTCTGTATTGCTTTGTTGGCTATATATTGTTCTCAAGTTGATTGCAGCGGTTTGCAGCTGTTGTAAAAGTCAAATTTTCGCTCAGGGACAATAACTATATTTTTATCCTTTTTTTTTTTAGGGACTATAGATTATAATAATAATAATAATAATAATATAATATATTATATTTAATTATACTACGAGCTGGAAATGGAAATATAGAATGCTTGGGCCATGTAAATGCTCCTTGGTGAAGCAACAGCCTTTTATTAACTTCATACACAAATTTGTGATAATTGTGCAAAACACAAAAATAGCAAAATTCAATAAAGAGTGTAAAAGATAAGGTGGGCCTACTTACAATGGTGATCCATCAGCCAGAGACGTCAAAGTGGAAAAGACCAGAAAGGCCAACAGCCGGTGCTGAGTCCCGCACATCCTCCTGCCTGATCCCATTTCTGTAATTATTGGACACTCCCCGCTCCGCAGCACTCTTCTTTTTACGCACTTACCTCCCTCCTCTTGCACCTGCATCCAGTTAATCCCAAGGAATCTGAACTGAGAATAAAATGTTGATGGAAGAACACATTAATCCACATATTCTTAATTCGCAAAATGTCATTTACTGGCCCTCAGTGTTTAACATAACTTTGAATATCCAAAATGTAATGGTTGCCGCCTTTTTTCTGCATTTCTTCTTACTGACATTGTCCCTTGAGAGTATTTTTAATTATTCTGTCTCATATATATATATATATATATATATATATATATATAAAAATACCATATGCCAAGCTAGTTTAGACATTAGACGATATGTCTTATAATTCTGTTAAGGTAAAAACAATTGTCAGTAACTAAACTAACTTGCTAAATTACTAAATTGGATGGCAGATATCTGGTTCTAATTCAAGTCTTCGAGTCTGGCTGGCTGGTAATGTTAACAAGCTTCCATGAAAGATACATCATACACAAGAGATTAATTTCTCTCCTGTGAAGGTCAACATGCTGATAACTGTGCTTGTTTTTTTTTAGCTTCATTGGATATTCAGGGCTGTTGAACAGTAACACTGTCCAATGCAATTACGTCAGCATGTTTTAAAGTTTGTTTTATGTATATATTAAAAAGAAGAAACAAAAGGTTTTGGGGGAAATGTCAGAAATGCTTCTTTGGTCTCAGTTGGCTGGAGGAGCCTGTCAGTGTCTGATTGACAGCAGCTGCAAGAGTGCCAGTAGGGAACCAGAGACTTAAAGAGGTGGTATTATGCTTTTTGCGTTTTCCCCTCTCATTTATTGAGTTATATAACTTTTTTGTGCATGTAATAGGGTTTGCAAAGTGAAAAAGCCCAACGTCCACCCCTAAGGGAGTTCCCATCTCCCACAGAAAACACTGCTCTGAACTGCCTGAAAACAGCTTTTTTGTAGTCCAGCAAAAAGCAAAATGCGCGTAATAGAACGCTCGCCAAGCGGCTACTCCGACACGCCCTCAAAAACACGGTGGAAAAACACTGAGCTGCAGCACACCTCTCCTCTCCCTTCCAAACACAAAATACCATCCAGGCAGTTAATGGTAAAGTTGTTGTGTTGTAGAGACAGAGCTCAGTTAAAACTTTATGGATGAAATTAATAACTCACCACTCTGAAACTCTTGCTCCAGTCCATGTTGATAAGCTGGTAAGGGGAACATATACAGCTGAACAAAGCCTTGTTTATTGGCTTCTCAGGGCCCGCCCTTCTCTGATTTTGATTGGCTAGTAGTCCTTAACTAGGAAATGCGCATGTGCAACTCCCAACAAAGATCTTGTAGAGGCAAGATGTATCACTCCTAAAACGAAGCCTTCAACACAGGGTGAAAGAGGAGCTGCTGCAACGTGCAGTATGACAAAAAATATGGTGTATTTTGAAAATTAAACTATGTAAACCTGTTCTGGTACAACCCCTAAATGAGATTTTGAAAATGAGCATAATACCAAGCCTGTTTAAACCAGTTTCCACCAAAGGGACTATACCTCGGGACTAGGAACCTTTGGAGGAAATTACTGCATTTCCACTGCAGGGACCAGGGTCTAAATGTAGTTCTAGGGGTCTTTATTTTACCCCTCAAAAAGTCCCTGTTCGGGAGGTAGTACTTTTTGAAAGTTCCGGTACTTTGGGGTGGGGCTTGCCTTGCAGTGATTTTCTGAATGGGCGAGTAGAGGCTACTGGTTTTGAATCAAGCATGTCGGCTGTTTTTTTTACTACTGCTCCTCTTTTCCACCTTTGTTTGCAAACCAATAAATCACAATCAACATAAATAGCCACACAAGTCTCAACAATATCTGCCTGAGATCATACATCGGCATTAAATGTATTGCTTGTGAAATAGCAGCCAGCGTGCAGCTGTGTGTTTACAGTGTACAGATAAATTCTGGGTCCTGTGTTGTTGTTTTAATTTTCATCAGTCAGCAGGTTTCTACACGGCGATGAAGTCAGTCTCCTCCTCTCCTAAACAAATGGAATGCTGATTACAGCAAGTAATAAAGCTTGTTAAAAATCCTGTTCCCTGTCATTACTACTTACTGAAAAGCTGAACGTGTATACCTCAGATAAAACATCAAAGCTGAACTCTTGCTAAAGAACATCAGTCTAGTATAAGTTGAAAAGTGAAAATACTCCCAGTGTGTTTCACATGAAATGTATTTCTGTGCGTGCAGGAGTATTTTTACTTCCTACCTTATCAAGATAAATAAGGAGCCATACACCCAGTAAAGGAGCCTGATGTTTCTGAAGAGTGCCTTGTTTGCTGCTCTGATATAAATCTAGTTTAAACACAGAAGAATGTGGGCACATCCAAAACATACTGTGGGTAAGTGCTGAAACAAAGAATGATCTGCACAGAGTAATTATGAATGCCACTAGATTGCAAACTCTGAGGAGCTCACAATGCACATGTAATAAATAGGTGCATCTATACAATGTAAACCACACAAAACCTTCTAAGAGGTCGCAGTAAATTACACCACCTGCAGGTCGTCAAAACCATTCAGTCTGCAGATAATTCTTTGTTTTTCACAACAGAGTAACATCTCAGTGAATGACACATTTGTCTCAATAATAATCTTTATTTGCAGAGCACTTTTCAAAAACAAGTTACAAAGTGCTTTAACAAGTGTAAAGAAAACAAAGAAACAAAACTATACTATAGTCTCAAAAATAAAACAGTATACAAAATCAACCTTTCATTTTTACTTTCTACTAACATATGTAAAATGTTAACCTATAAATACCATCTTAATATTTTCATTTACAGCTGTTAACTATAATATAGAGTTTAGATCACAATATTTACTGTTAAGATAGGTATCTGATGATGAATGAAGAATGTGATTTTATTTTAAGTATAATTAGTCTGATCAATTTTATAACAAATTATTCCTAATACACAAGCAATAGTTTAACAAATTAAACTCTTGTCTTGCATTCATGAAAACATCGATATTAAAAGGTTACAAATGTAAAAGTTGTTTTGTATGACTTGAAATAATGTGTTGTAAGAGCTATTTTAATGATAAGAACCCAGTGTCATAATTTCGCATCAGTGGTGTTCAGGTGTTGTGAGTAAAAAGAAAAGGCTGAGCAAAGCAGGTGCTGAAGAGCGTCACTGGAAGCTGGGACAAATCACATCTGGAGGGTTCTGCAATCAGCTCCTCTGGCACCTGTAAAGAAAACAATGGGTAGACAGTTAAGCAGCTTCTTCCAAAGTGCTATAAAGCTACTGAACTCTGAGATTGCCTCAGCATGGTAACCTCTCTGGCATGTAACAGTAATTAGGGGTGGCAATGTGAAATACACTGTTTACTAATATATGCAATATACTGTTTGCTGCTGGACACTGTGCAATAATAACTACTCAAGTCAGATCTTATTGAACGGTTATTATAAGGATCTTATTTCTTATTGAAATGTACTACGTTTTTAGGCAAATTTCAATCTACTAAACAAACTCAGAGGAGGCTCTCACACACCTAATTTCTCGCCTTAACTAAACAAACTTTATTAAACTCAGGAGAGGGGTCAACTGCAGACCTCCACTGTCAGGCCGGTCAGTTTTTTACGTCCCCACAGGACGTAACGTGATGCATTTTCGGTTGTTTCGCTACTACACATCGCGACAGCGGTAGGTGACTGGTTGGCATTATCCAGAACATTGAGTAACGCCATAACCTCGACGTCCAAAAAACATTTCCCAGTATTCAGTCCACAATCACCACACACTACTGTCAAACCGAGCGCCTGTTACACTTCCTGATTATATTGCATCAGACGCGGTACGCCAGAGTGTGACATCACAATGACGTCATGTCCAGATGCCGGTTTTTGGCCCAAAATAATTTTATTATTTTTCCTGGGCATATTTGAGGCACAGTGACATATGTATTTTGTTGCTTGTAATTTTAGAACATTTATGCTATTTTTGTATTAATGAAAGCTAATGAGATATGGCCAATTGTTGAGTTAATTATCTTGGGGGATGGGCCTCAGTGGTTAAAGGGGGTTCCTTCTTCTTCAGCCCAGAGGGAGTGTGTGTGCCAGAGCTGTTACAGAAAAGGTAATTGAGAGAGAGACTCGGATTGATTATAGATTGTTGTGCCTTTTTGCTTGGACTGTGAATACTGTACATTTTGTAAATACTATTTTTTTTGACTATTTTGTTGCTGAGCGCTATTTTTGTACCTTTGGAAGAACGAGCCCAATAAATCACAAAAACATCATTTACGACTACGCCATTTTTGTTCATTTGGAGTACAAGCCCCGTCACAATTGCTCTTGGTGTATATTCGCTGTCAATAGCTACTGCTGTCAATACACATTTAGTACATCTAAATCACACAAATTACAGAATGTCAGATTATTTGTCGTTCTACATAGGTGTCGTTCTACGTTAGGCTACGCCGAAGGTGGCTAGCGTTAACTCCTGAAGTAGCAGGATTAGCTTTTTTTCCCCCTTTGGATAACGTAAGCTAACTTTACTCATAGCCTGTATGAAGCTACTGTGTGTTTGTTTTTTGTAAAGCATTTTGCAAGGGCATAGGTTTGCATTTGTCCTGCTCAGGTTAGTTATTTGTCCAAAAGAAGATAAAATAAAGATCTATATCGTTTAGACCGTTCGGTGTAGCTTTTTCACACTTAATGTTAAACAGTGTGCAAAGACTTTGCTGGCTGTATGAATTGATCTTAGTTTAATTTAAGTTTATGTACTACGACAGTGTTTCCCAACCCTTTCCTGAAGAAAGTTACCCCCTGTCCTGCATGATTTAATCTATTCCTGCTTCAAAACACCTGTTTGAGGCAAATTCAGGATTTATTACTAGTTGATATTAAATCAGCTTTTTTGGAGCAGGGAGATATTTAACACACATGGTTATTTAAACAGTTAGCCACATAAAGATACTACTCATCACCACAGCCACTGTTGGCATATAACCAAATTGCGTGATTTAGATGTACAAATATTAATAGTGGTAGATATTTTGATGGAACATGCCAAGACCCATGCATTCAGACTTTTCTTTAAAATG